TGGCTTCCGTACGATCTGTTACACACGCCATTTTCGATCGATTCTTGAAGGTCGCGAAATTTGAGTTGTGATTTTGATCCATCGGAATCTGTCGCCGGCCGGCGGTTGAGGGACGGTTGAAGAACGACTGGAAATCTGTGAAGCTGCGGCGGCTCTCTGTGTATCTTCTGGTGATGGATGATATTATTGGTTGAATCTCCGGATCTGAAGTTACATTTAATTTGATTTTTTGTTTCTTTTGTAACAAAAATAAATAATAATCGTTATGATTAAGAATAATGGGAAGAAATTTTGGGATGAAGTTGAAGTCATGTATTCGTGTTTTCTTGTACATAAAGAGATTAATTCAATTTTTATGTAAGAAATTTGAACGTCATAACCAGTTTGTGTTCTTTCTGATTTAATCTCGATATTAGCTATTTAAAAATAAGGTTGAATTATAAATTTGATTTATGAAATTTTTAATATTGAACTTATTTTACATCTAGAATTAAAAAGTTTGAACCATATTTTCACAATACTTCTAACTTAATTATTATTCTTTTTAGGACAACAAATACATGGATGAGAGATTGAATCCCGACCTCTAAAGAAGAAACGAAATGCCTAATTCTTGAATCTTAAAAAAAATAATCATGTCTCTGACTTATTTCTATTGAGTTATTTAGTGGAAAATTATATATTAAATTAATTTTCATTAAGTTGGTATAGTATGACAAATAACTGGTTCTCGACAAATTTATATAGAATCATAATTTAAAATCCAGGATGTGATTAATATTTTTGAAAATTTATAAGTTAGTATAAAAGATGTTAGGTGTTAGATGTTTAAATTTTAAATTTACAAATTTAAAATAAATAGATATTTATATAAATGGTACAAAATGAATGTGTATTTTCGAATATAACATAAAATTTAAACTTTTACAAAATATAGCATATAGTCTAAATTAAATCAAACTTAACTTAAACTCAAATGTAAATAAAACTACCAAGAAAAAAATATATATATAAAAAATACACACCAAATTAAAAATAAGAAAATTCATGACATTTTTTAAAGTACATATTCAATTTATGGGCATAAGGTGCTCTCTCTATGCATATATTTGTTGTTTTATATTGATTTTGTTTCCTTTTAGATTAGATTGAATTTGAATGATATGATATGATGCACATTAATGAGAGACATAATCTCAAGTCATCGGTGTTATTTTTCCCATGCCTATTAATGCTATAGTCACATAAACTCTAGCCCACTTGTTGTAGGGATTGACCATTTTTTTAGTGGGGACATATTTAAAAGAGCTATAGATTATTTATATATATATTTGTATCTAATCAATGTCAAATCATAAAAGAAATTCACTCCAACTTTAAGATAGGTCGTTTGAGTTATATACCCAACCTTTAAGATTGTTTAACAAATATCTTCCATTAACTTTTCCGTGGAATAAAATAGAAACATAAGATGACGATGATGAATTGTATAAATAAAGATACACATGGACATAACTAAACGGCATGCATGGTTTCAATTATGTACTTTAGACTTTGGGATAAATTTTAGTTATGTCCCTATTATTTAAAAAATTTTCCTTCTAACCTTTAGCCCTTAAAATTATTTCAAAACAGTCATTCTACTATTTTTTTTTCATTAAAATGAAATGAAAAATGTGATGCATTATACAAGGGCATAAAATAGAAGTTGAACAATTTTAATCCCATTCAAATGATATCCAAATTAGGTAGGGAATCGATACAAAGAAATATAGTTTTAGTCAAAATTTCATCTTTTAGAGGAGGAAGCCACACGTTTATGAGAAAAATTATGGATTAACAAAAATAAAAGATCACATATTTATAAAGTCGAAAGAAGGTCTAGAGAGAGTTTTGCAAGAAAATTATATGTTCTTAAAGAGAGTATTGTGAAGAGTGGGTTTTGCGAGCATGGGCCATAAGTAATTTTGCAGTTCCTAGGTTTGACTGTCTATGATTTAATTCTTTGTTAGTTTTAATTTTTGTCCATTAATCATCAGAATGGATGTCTCATATCTTGTTCGCTTTTGGTTTACTTATTCCTTAAAAATTTTATTTCCTCCAAAATCTTTGAAACTAGAGGCAAGATTATTTCCTCAAATATTGCATTTTTTAATGTGATTAAAACTCTTAATTTTTTTTTATAACAACTTATCGCCATATTAGATTTATATCTTAATTTTAACTAGAAAGTTAATGAAAAAAGTTACTTTGAACCACCGTATTAAAAGCAGAAGATTAAAATGAAGTTTTTTTTAAGTACAAGATTAAAATGAAACTTTTAAACATAAGAGTATAATTGAAATTTAACCAAAGTTGATTGGTATAATTGAAACTACTTTTGTCCCTGTGTACCTTTCTTTTTTTTCGACAATATTTTTGTCATTTTTAGTACAAAAGTAGTTGACAGTAGTATATTTTAAAAGTTTAGGAAAAAATTCAAACTTTTAAAAGAATAAGGGCATAATTAAAATTACTGCATGGTATAATTTAACTTTAATTAAAGATAAAGGTAGGGATGGTTGTTTCTACTCGATTTAACTTTCAAAACCGAACTCAATTATTTTTTGAATGATTCCGAACTTTTTTCTATTCCTACATTATTAAACAATTTAGTAAAGTGACTTTCTGTAAATTTAGATTCAATTTTTTTTAATAAATTTGTCGTTCAATTTAAATTATAACACACATTTTTTAAAAATTTGAAAGAAAAATTTTAAAAGTTTCACACGAGAAATCCATCCCACTGCTTGATTAATGCTCAAGGGATAGGAGGGCGATGTATTCTTCTTCATTAGGGATGGGAGGGCATTCTCAACCCATTGTTTTTTGAGAAACAAAATAATAAAAAAAAATTGATTTGCATTCTTCGATAAGAATATAGCTGGACGGGTTAAAGCACTTATGTTTTATCAAAAAGTCGTGAATTTTGAATCTCTATCGCATATCTTTCCATTTGGAGAACGACAACCTTTACGATGTTTTTATATTTTGAATTTGAAGTTTTAAGATCAAAATTACATAGATAAAAATTTTGATAAACATACACTTTCATATTATAAATTCATTTCATTTTTTTAAAACTTAAAACATATGAAATATAATATAGTATAAAATAATAATTTTACAAAAGTTATAGTATATATGTTAATAAATACTTTAATATTATTTTAGATTGAATTAAATATTTAGTTGATAACTATGCTAGTTTATCAATATATCTAATCACACCTTGGAAAAAATTTTAAATTAAATTTTAATTTTTAAATATACTACCAAACATATGGAAGGAATAAAATGAAATAATTGAATTTCTTATTTTGACATGTATGATTTTAGATTACCCACTAAGTGTTTCCTAATTTTTTTTATACCATTATTTATTTAAGAATAACAAGATGGGAGGGTGTCGGTTGGAGAGAGAGAGGGACGCAAAGTTGCGAATAATTAAATCGAAAATTGAAAGTAAAAAAAGAATATTATCATTACCTATCTCTCATGGATGGCATGCACCACCACACTGACTTCTTTACATCCTCCTATGTCATATCCGCCAAAAATAAATAAATATCTCTTCATCCAATATATATATATATTTTATTTCAATATATGTATAGTTGTCGTTTTTAGTTAATCTAATAGAGTAATATACTTTTTTCAAAAATGAAAAAAAATAGAGTAATATATCAAAAACTATTTGTCATAAAAAAAAAGTATCATTCAAAAGTCAATAGTTCAATTCCAACTTCAACTTTATCATGATGGGAAATTTTCTTGCCTAAATTATAAAAAAATACCCTTAAACTCAAACATTTATTTTTAAAATTTCCCATTTTCCCATTTATTTTTTTCAAACATTTGCAAATATTTTGAATGAAAAGTTTACGTGACAAAGCTTAAAACATAGCAATTAACGTCTTACTTTGTCTTAAGAAGTCTTTTTCATCTATTGTCAATTAAGTTTGCTTCTCCAATATCTATCCAATTTTACTCTAATTTCTCTTTTAAAAATGATAACTTCTTCCACGTTGTATATTTTTTAAATTTAATCCAGACAAATTTCTGCTCTCTTTGTTCATCCTAAAAAAGTTCTCTAAAAATAATATTTTGATGCTGGTGGATCTTTTAAATGAACGTGATAGATAATAAATAACATTAGTATTCCTATCCATATTATTGTAAATCAATAATTATTTCCATGATTCTTGAATTGAAAAAAACACTACTGAAGCGGTGGGTAGAGAACTAAAAAATTACCGCTAAGGATTACCACAAAATTTATTAATGACGAAATCAACAACTTCAAATTTATTAAACTGAAATCAAATAACATCTAAAAAGGTTTGACATTTATATAAAAATGTAACAAAAATAAACTTCTCAAATGATTTGTTTTAATTTTTCTTAAAAAAAAACTACATAAAAATGAAATAAAACAGGGTTATATCAGTCTCTCTCCCAACTTCGACATGGTTCAACGACGATACGTGGTGATAATACGTAGTGAGTTGAATATGGGCCACTTTGTGAGCCCAAATGAAAATAAGTCCAGAATAGAAATGATTTCTTGGGCCTAAAAAGGCCCATAACAACTGCGCGCCAGAGCCTGGTACTAACGAAGCACAACACAGAATAGAAGCGAAGCGAGTTATTGCCCTCTTCGTGTTCTTCCATAAACCCAGAACGATGCTTTCTTTGGAGCAGAAATAATGGCCGATTATGCGGAAGCTATTCGTGCTATGAGGCTGCGGATTCGAATACAACGGCAGCTTCCTTTTCGATTCCTCGGTTCCGTTGTGCCGGCAAATGCCCAGGTACTTTCCGACCTCCGTTGCTCACCAATTTTACTGTCTACTTCATCGGAAGTCGCTTCACGTATCTCGGAGCCTCCAATGGAAGCTCCGAGACGAATTGAAGCTGACGCAACCGGATTTGGTTGAACGAATCTCCCGCATCCTAGTCCTTCGACGATTCGATGCCCTCGTGAAGCTGTCCTTCAGCTTCTCCGACGAGTTGCTGGATTTAGTCCTCCGTAATCTCAGACTAAATCCGTATGCTTGCTTAGAGTTCTTCAAATTGGCCTCTAAACAACAAAAGTTCAGACCGAATATCAATTCCTATTGCAAGATTGTTCACATATTATCAGGGGCCCGAATGTACAAGGAGGCTAGGGCGTACTTGAATGAACTTGCGGTTCTATGCAAGAACAATTACACCGCATGTGTAGTATGGGATGAGCTTGTAAGGGTTTATAGAGAATTTGCATTTTCTCCTATAGTTTTTGATATGATTTTGAAGGTTTACGCGGAGAAGGGAATGACAAAATTTGCACTGCGTGTGTTCGACGATATGGGGAAGTATGGTTGTGCTCCATGTTTAAGGTCTTGCAATAGTTTGTTGAGTAATTTGGTAAACAATGGAGAAACATTCAAGGCTCTGCTTGTTTACGAACAAATGATTGCATTAGGTGTTATTCCCGATGTCTTTAGTTATTCAATACTGGTGAATGCATATTGCAAGGAGGGAAGAGTGGATGAAGCCTTCGACTTTGTGAAAGAAGTGGAGAGGTCATGTTCTGAACCGAATGTAGTAACTTACAATACTTTGATTGATGGGTATGTTAGTCTAGGAGATATTTTTGGGGCAAAAAAAGTATTGGAGTTGATGTCTGAAAAGGGCATCTCTGAGAATTCCATAACTTATACTTTGTTGATAAAAGGTTATTGCAAGAGAGGTCAGATGGAGCAGGCTGAGAAGCTAATGAGGTACATGGAGGAGAAAAATTTGTTTGTGGACGAGCATGTTTATGGAGTGTTAATGCATGCATATTGCAGTGCTGGCAGAATAGATGACGCCCTCAGACTAAGGGATGTGATGCTGAAAGCAGGATTAAACATGAATACTGTAATTTGCAACTCACTTATTAATGGGTATTGTAAGCTTGGTCATGTTCAAAAAGCAGCAGAAGTGTTGGTTAGTATGGAAGATTGGAACCTTAGACCAGATTCTTATAGCTATAACACTCTTCTCGATGGGTTTTGTAGACAAGAAGATTTCAATGAAGCCTTCAAGCTTTGTAATGAAATGGACAAAAATGGAGTTAATTTGACTGTTGTGACTTACAATATCCTCCTCAAGAGTTTTTGCCATGTTGGTTACGTTGACCATGCCCTACAGATTTGGAATTTAATGCAGAAAAGAGGTGTGGCAGCTGATGAGGTTAGCTATTGTACACTTTTAGATGCATTTTTTAAAGTAGGTGCTTTTGATAGAGCTATGATGATATGGAGAGATGTATTGTCGAGGGGTTTTACAAAGAGTACAACTCTTTATAATACCATGATTAATGGCTTTTGTAAGTTGGGGAAATTGGTGCAAGCACAAGAGACTTTTCTTAAGATGAAGGAACTAGGCTGTCAACCCGATGAAATAACATATAGAACTTTAATTGATGGATATTGTAAAGTTGGAAATATGGTAGAAGCTTTTAAATTTAAGGACTTGGTTGAAAGGGAGGGGATCAGTGCTTCCACTGGAATGTACAATTCTCTGATTACTGGTGTTTTCAGATCTGAAGAATTACCCAAATTGATTGGTCTTCTTGCTGAGATGGGGAGCCGTGAACTATCCCCGAATGTTGTAACTTATGGCTCTCTTATAGCTGGTTGGTGTGATAAAGGGATGATGAACAAAGCATATAGTGCATATTTTGAGATGATTGGCAAAGGGATTGCACCTAATATCATTATAGGCAGCAAAATTGTCAGTAGTCTGAACCGACTCGGTAAGATTGATGAAGCAAGTCTGCTATTGCATAAAATGGCAGATATCGATCCTATTGTAGATTGTGTATGTTCTGCTAAACTTCCCAAGTCGGGTTCAACACACCTTGAAACTCAGAAAATTGCGGATTCTTTTGGTCAAAGGGCCACGAGCATCCCTCTGTCAAACAATATCGTCTATAATGTTGCAATTGCAGGGCTGTGCAAGTCTAAGAAGGTTGATGATGTCAGAAGAATCTTGTCAGATCTGTTACTTAGAGGCTTTCGTCCTGATAATTACACGTTCTGTTCCCTAATTCATGCATGTTCTGCTGCTGGTAAAGTCAATGAAGCCTTCTGTTTAAGAGATGACATGATAAAGGCAGGTCTTGTTCCGAATATTGCCGTGTACAATGCTCTTATAAATGGTTTATGCAAGTCCGGGAATCTCGACCGAGCTCAAAGACTATTCCATAAGCTGCACCGGAAGGGTTTATCACCCACTGTTGTTACATACAATACTCTGATTGATGGATATTGTAAGGCTGGTAGAACAATTGAGGCTTTTAAACTGAAGGATAGAATGACAAAAGAAGGCATTTCTCCCTCCTCTGTTACCTATTCTACCTTGATACATGGGCTTTATAAGCGAGGAGATGTTGAACAATCCGCGGGGCTTTTGAATGAAATGATCAAGACATGTAAAGACTCAAGTGTAACGGATCCACTTGTGGTTCGAGTTTACGTCAAATGGAGAGACAAGCAGAAGACATCTGAACCGAACTGCTGAACTGAAGTCCAGCCCTTGCTGCTGCGTCGAGCTCGACTCGATTATTCAGCCCTGCGGGTCAAGTTCCAACGCTTATTTCAAGCTGGTATTCATGATGGAAAAGTAAGAAATCTTTCTAACTCGCTATAACTCACTAACCTCATACTATTTGAAGAGATTTTGACAGTTTACAAAGCAAGAACATGTTCTTTTGATGTTTTCTTGTTTCAAGCTTGTTTACAATGTTATTCTTTTGATTTTGTCATTATAGATGGCAATAAAAGCACATTCTTTTTAGTTTTCTTTCGATGATAATGGAAAAGAAACCCATTAGGCCCATTGGATTTGGTAAAACTTCAGCTTTGTTAAGATATTTGTTTGGTTTCGAGTAAAAAGAGAACAAAAAAAGCATGGTTGCTTTCCAAGTTTTATAATTTTTTTGAAGGTTAAATATCTATGTTTAACAAACTAAATTTCTCATATGCAATCAAATGGGGCCGAAGAAAGCTCGACTTTTGAATCAAATAGTTCGAATATAAAGAACTGGGACATTTATTTATTATATTTTTTTAAAAAACAAAGAAATTCAAAACATTAAAATCTATCCCAGCTATTGTCATAAACTAGCCCATAGTTATTCCAATTTTAACATTTTGAACCAAGTCCTATGCAGTAGCGTAATAAAATAACAAAAATTTTGAACATATCTATACTTTTTACACTTTTGCCAAAAATCATTTCGTTTCGTGACTGATTTCTATTTTATTACTATTTTTAAAAAATTAAAACATAGGCCTTTTACAGATGTAATACGCCATCTTTTAGTTTTTATAATGAGAAGTAATAATAAATAGGTTAAAACACCATTGATTTATTCTATTATATTTTGTTATGCTTTTGAATGTAGTGTAATCCTTACACCTTCAATAAATTTTAAAAATAGCTAAATTACAAAAATACCTCTGAATTTTTACCTTTATTTAAAAAATATTTCTATCATTTCAAGAGCTATTAATTTTGAATGAGTTTGGTACTAGGCATCTCTTGTTTCTCTATGTTTCGTGTATTTTCAAACTAATTTCAGGCAACCTTTCCACAAAATTTAGCTTCACCTTCCTAACTATTGCATATTAAGAAAATAAATAATTTCTTTTTTTATTAGTCGTAGCACAATGTATTCAAGAGAAGGAAAAAAAGGCACGAAACTTCTTCCGACAAGAATATTGATATTGTAAATGATCAATATCTTCATAGTCATCCTTTCAATCCACACCCAAACGACACGATAATTTGGTATAGGAAGTCTCCATGCAATTTCGAGTTGGGTCTTTTGCAATTTCTTCAGCTCTCATAAAAAATAAAAAAAAAAGACCTTTTTACTCCAATTTTCATATGCTTTCTATAGTTATATATGTATATCACCACTCATACTTGTTCCTAAGAACCAAAAAAAAAAAAAAACAATGGCCATTCCAATTCCAACTGTTTCCATTGCCTTCAAATGGTTTTCCAAATCCAATTTCAAGCTCAACTTCCCTCGCCTTCTCTTCAACCCCAAACCCACCTCCTCTAATCCTCCTCCACCACCCCTCAAGGCGGCGCCACCGCTCGCCGAAGTCGCCTTTCACCACCTCGACGCTGATGGAGATGGCAAAATCTCATGCGACGAACTCCGATCCTACTTTGCATCCATCGGAGAGTGTATAACACGCGACGATGTTCGTAGAGTGATTCGAGACTTCGATGGCAACGGCGACGAGCTACTGGAGCTTCAAGACTTTGCTCGCCTAATGGAGGTCCAGGAGGAGGAGGAGGGAGAGGATTTGAGAAGGGCTTTTGAAATGTTTGAAGTTGAAAAGGGGTGCGGGTTCATCGGACCGGAGGGATTACAGAAGATGTTTCGACGGTTGGGGTATGTGAAATCGAGCGACGAGTGCATGGCAATGATCGACGTGTTTGACATTAATGGTGACGGTGTTATCGATTATCGTGAATTTCTCAGAATGATGGCAGGGCCTAATTTAACATGTGAATAAATCTCCTTTGATTACTGTCGTGTATCTGTCTTTTGTTTTTGTCAATGTTAATGAAAAGTACGCATATATATGTAATATACTTGAGTGAGGTGCTTGGATTTGGCGTTGTTGTCTCTTAATTATGTCGGCAGACTGTAAATTCTATAAGCTTTTTCATTTTTCCTGTTTTGATATTTTGAACTTTGTAATATTGAAACTGAAAATAAGGGAACAATACTTTAAGTACTTGTTTTTTTTTTATATATTGTTTTTCATTGATAAAAAATTTAATGATAACTAATCAGTGATGAATTTTGATGGATAAAATACTTAAAAGTATATTTTTCAGACAGAAATGATGTTGCTGTTAGGATGCTCGTATACTTTGGATGTTAATTTTATAAGCTATATGTTGACATGTATTTTAATGGAATAACTGCACAGTTGTCGCAGTCCCGAAGAAATTGATTTTCATGAACTCTACTAAACTTTATCCTCGTTATTTTAACCTAATCTATTTCAAAATTTTAAAATGACTAGGCATAAAATTAAAAAAGTTTTTTTTTTCATTTTTGTTTATAATTAATTAAAATATATTAATTGCTAACACGAAATTAGCATAATACCTATATGCGACTGTCGAATCTTTACACAGACTTGTATCAAAATAATATTATATTAAATTTATCGCTCTCTGACTCTCGATGGAGCCAATGCCGCCGTCTATGGCAGGGTGGGCATTATCAGTTTTCTGAGGGCGATATAGTCAATTCACTCACACATTATCCTCTTTCACTCGCTCAGCGGTCCCTGCGTCTGCCGCGGTTTCAATTTCGCTAAGAAACTACCTCCATTGTGGATAGAGCAAGAAAATGGCTTCTTCTATATCCTCTCTTGCATTTTCTCTCTCTTCTCTCTCGTTTTCTTCCCAAATATCGCAGAAGCCGAACGGCCTGTCCTTTCCTCGCTCAAAATCTCTGGTAATTTCCCATCCCTGCAATTCCTCCCCACTTGTGGTATCTGCCTCCGCCGCTACCGGCGTGGAGACGGCGGAGCTTAGGAGCTTCGTGAAATCGAGGCTTCCTGGTGGCTTCGCTGCGCAAACGCTTATTGGCACGGGTCGCCGGAAATCTGCCATTGCTCGCGTTGTCATCCAAGAAGGCACTGGCAAAGTTATAATCAATTACCGTGACGCTAAGGTCCTCCATCTCTTCCCTCCTCCATGTACTTGCATTTATTCTAATTCGTTGAAGGTTCCTAATTTTGGTGCTGGATGTTCTTTGGACGATTTAGGGTTTTGATTCGTTTACTGGATGGTAATGCAGTTGTTTTCTTAATTGAACCTAATATTGTCATTATGAGATCGTGATTACCATATTTAATATGCAAATGCTCGAACCATTTAGAGATGGAAGTGATTATTTAGTTTTTATTCTACTATCTTTGTTATCGATGTGCAACTATTATTATGTTAAATTGGATTGAACTAGAGCATAATATCCGCTCGATATCAGGTCTTCTTCTTCTATCTTCTATAGAGCATTTGAAGTTTTTACTTATAATTAAATTCTAGGCTTTTTGCCTCTTCATCTGACATAGTAAACTTAGATTAGATTAGATTCCGTTGCTTGGTTCCAAATGCGGAGGGATTAAGGAAGAAGAAGTGGTTTCATCCATCACAAGTAGGGATAAGGGACTGTTATGACTGCATCTATCTGCTGTGCTAATTTGTAGTCTGATTGTGCTTCTTTGAAGTTTGAGTTTGAGATTTTGGATCGCTGGTGAAATGGTTTTGGATGATGAAAGTCATGCCTATTAGGGGGATTGGGTACTTTCCTTGTTTTTCTCAGTGGGTGTAGGAGTGTAAATGTACCTTTGTTCCACTTCCATTACATGTGGAAATTTTTACATCTGATGACATTGGATCGCATTGCAAATCCTTCATTTGCATTCACCAACTCTCTTCATATCAATTGATGACACAGTGCTTCTGGAGGTGGCACCATAATCTCAAGTCTTATGCCTACGTCTGTTCGTTAATATGTTCAGATGTTAGTTTCTCTCTATATACAAGTGATTTTAGTGACCAAATGTGTTCTATTTCTAGTTTGGGTGCTGTTTTTCCTTAAATGTCTAGTATTGATGCTTGGATAACCTCATTTGTACTCGACATGACGACACAATATCTGGAATAAAGAGAAGATCCACCCCTTGTGAACTTGAGCTTCTAGATTCTATTTAATTTACATAAGCTTGTTATAACAAACAGTTCGTCCTATATTTGTTACAGAGGTTTTTAAGTTGTGACTGTGCATTCGGTAGAATTTTGCTCACCTATGGGTTGGGATACACAATGTGTTGCAGGAATACCTTCAAGGAAACCCATTGTGGCTTCAATATGTGAAAGTTCCGTTAGTAACATTGGGATATGAAAGTAGCTACGACGTATTCGTTAAAGCCGAAGGAGGGGGCCTCTCTGGCCAGGCTCAGGCAATTTCGCTCGGCATTGCTCGTGCGTTGCTAAAGGTGAGTGATGATCACAGGGCACCTCTAAAGAAAGAAGGGCTTTTGACAAGAGACTCTAGAGTGGTGGAGAGGAAGAAGGCTGGTCTCAAGAAAGCCCGTAAAGCCCCACAATTCTCCAAGCGTTGAGGTTCTTCCTCCTGTCAAAATTTCTCTTGAATGTTTTCCATAGCCTCCTTCCCTACATTGTGTGCACAACCCAAATGTTATCTTCTACTTGCTTTCCACACTAATGGAGTGTATCTAAGAAATCTGAGGGGAGCTGAGGATATGTATTAAAAAGTCAGTACCCATAATTGGTCATGATTTTTTTTAGTTAAAACATAGTTTTAGTCTATATAACTTGGCTCTACTATTATTTTAGATTTTCTACATCTTTTTGTATTCATATAGTCTTGGTTCTTTACAAATGGTTTTTGTTTGTTTGTTTGCTTTTTCCCTTTTTTACATAAAATAATTTCCTATATGAAATAATTAACAAATAACAAGTATGTGCATTTGATGCTTAACAAATTCCCGTTTTGTTTTGTTTTTTTCTTATTCAGTTAACCGTTAGAATTCGATGATGGTTAATTCGATCTAATGACTTTTTAATCTAGCACATATAATTGAACTAGGTAGGTTAGCAATAAATCACCTTTGTTGCAATTAATATATTATTTTGCCTTAAAAGTTTTTTTTTATTATTATTATCTATTATTGAGAGAGTTTGCTTCTACCGTATCTATTCAATTTTGTCCAAATTTCTCTTTTAGAAATGATAACTTCTTTCACATTTTCTATTATTTCAGATACAAGTATTTTATTTTATTTTATTTTTTTAATTTAGCATTGTTCACCACACAAGTGTTCTCTAAAAATAATATTTTGATGCTGGTGGATTTTTTGAATATGCTAATGTGGCAGATTATAAATGACATTAGTATCCCCATCCATACTAATTTAAGAATTCTTTACACGATTGTTTGAACTAAAAAAATTACAGCTACAGATTACCACAATTCATCAGTGAGGAAATCAACAACTTCAAATTTATTAAACTGAAATAAAATAACATCCCAGTAGAAACATTTACGTAAAAATGTAATAAATATAACCTTCTTAAATGATTGTTTTTTTTAAGCGATATAAAATTGAAATAAAAATGAGCTATATTAGCCAACAACATAGCTCAATGCTAATTTGTATGTACTTCTCCCTTCAAGGTCCGAAGTTGAATCCCAAGTATCCCCTTTGAACATAACTCAACAACTCATGGAGGTACATATTTTATTACTTTTAAAAAAACCAATCTTTGCATGGGCTGAGCTGAATATGGGCCACTTAACGGCCCCAAATGAAAATAAGCCCAGAATGGAAATGAGCTCTTGGGCCTAAATGGAAAAAGCCCATAACAACTGCGCGCCAGAGCCTGGTACGAACGAGCACAACACAGAATAGCGAAGCGAGTTATTGCCATCTTCGCGTTTTTCCATAAATCCAGAACGATGCTTTCTTTGGAGCTGAAATAACGGCCGATTATGCGGAAGCAATTCGTGCTATGAGGCTGTGGATTCGAATACAACGGCAGCTTCCTTTTCGACTCATCGGTTCTGTCGTGCCGGTAAATGCCCAGGTACTTTCCGACATCCGTTGCTCACCAATTTTACTGTCTATTTCATCGGAAGTCGCTTCACGTATCTCGGAGTCTCCAATGGAAGCTCCGAGACGAATTGAAGCTGACGCAACCGGATTTGGTTGAACGAATCTCCCGCCTCCTAGTCCTTCGACGATTCGATGCGCTCGCGAAGCTGTCCAAAACCAAATTCTTTCCTTTTCTTCTGTTTCTTTTTTTTTCTCTTTTCCTTTCCTTTGAAGCTAAAAGACCATTATGCCCTTTAAACTTAACTTCAATCATTCCAATTTTTTTCCTTTTAGAAATTAACGACGAACAAGTTCTTACATTCTTAGACCAGAAGCCCTAAATCCGAATCTCATCAATTACATGAAAAATTCTTGCAGCGAATTAGCGATCTGTTTCTTGTTACTACCATTCTTGCTGTCGAACAGTAGTATCAGTGTATCAGTCTACCACTGTCATCTTTGATGTCGAACAGTAGTAACAGTGTATCGATCCCGGTTTCGGACAATGAGTTTGACGAGGTGGAAAGGATGCGTGTTCGAGCCCGGAGGAAGCGCAAAAAACTAGGAAGCAGAGTCAAGAACGAGTTGGCTCGTCGAGTTTTTAGAATGATGCTGAGATATTGGTTGGTTGTCTTCTTCCTTATTGCTGCGGGCTTGCTTATATTTGAGGCAACAAGAATTGGTCGGAAATCGAGGATGGAGGCGAAGTCGGAACTTGGTGACACGACGAGACCTACGTTAGGCGACTCGGTACTTGGAACTGATAAGAAGTCGGGGTTGGACAATAAACCAGATGGGAATTTGAATAGACTCGATCCTGTTACTCGGATGGTTGCCGGAGTAAGAGAACGTAAGTTTTCAAAGAACCTCATATTTTTTTCTATGATTAATTTGATTTTTCTTTTCAGAGAGGATCTACAAATTCTTGTGATGAGGATAGGTTTTAATTTGTTTGGTGTCTCGTTATTTTAATTTCGCTAATTTGAAAGATGAGGAAGCTGTTGGGTTTGAAATTAATCTTTTTAGTCATCGTGGTGTTTTTGATGCACAAGAAGAACTAGAGTTGACTTGCATTTGTGGGTTGTATCAGCTTGCTTGAAACTTCTGCCACCAAAAGAACTTGAGCAATTGGATATTCCTGTGCACGATGGTTCGCCAGTTCCAGCGATTGATGTGAACTACATAACTGAGAATGATAATTCAATTTTAAGAGATAAAACTTCCCAGTCGCGACAGAGCACGGAGGCCACAAGATTTAATCTTTTTACCGGATACCAGACTCTCGATCAGAGAGAAAAAAGTTTTCAGGTTATTATCAACTCCTCACTAATTAGTTTGCTTCCCTGACCTGACATCTATGAGACATCCCGTCTCTTGAATAGAAACTGGTTTTTCCAAGTTTACTATTTATCTGTTTGCCTTTGCCTCTTTAAATATTAGCTTTTCCCTCTGAGCTCTAGGAATTCGTTGATACAGGTAAATGGAGCTGTTGAGGTACATTGCGGTTTTTACAGTGAAAATGGGGGTTTCAGAATTTCTGATGGAGACAGAAATTACATGCAAACATGCACCCTTGTGGTGTCCACATGTGCATTTGGTGGTGGAGATGATCTTTATCAACCAATTGGAATGTCAGATGCATCACTTCGTAAGGTTGTCAAATATTGGTTTTGCTATTTTTGAATTGCCTATAATGCGTTTTTCGTTATCTTTTATGCTATTCTATCTTCTTTTTTTGTTTAAATGCATTTAGTAAGGGCGTACGTACTCAACTGATGCAGGTTTGCTATGTTGCATTCTGGGATGAAATCACTTTAAGTGCACAGGAGTCGATGGGACATATTATTGGCGAGAATGGATTTTTTGGGAAGTGGCGCATTATAGTTGTGAGGGATCTTCCTTTCACTGACCAAAGATTGAATGGTAAAATCCCGAAGGTAATAAGTTGTAGAATGAAAGTGATTAGACAATCAGACTTCACCCTTTTTTCCTTCCTTGGAAGACTTTTAAGTATGACATGAAAAATTCTGTATGCTACCATCCATTGCCTTGCCTTCTCTGGATTTGTGAATATGATCGCAATCAGCTATCATCTTTGTTTTGGATTTTTTGTGGTAAATAAGGCATCTTTTGTTTTATATTTGGCTTAACAGAAACCATGTTGATTGCTCCTTGTATAGTTAATATACAAGATGAAAATATTTGTTTGAACCTCCAGAACGGCAAAAAATCTTGCCATTAAGTAGCAAGCTTAGCATAAAGGGGATATTATTTAAACATGCAAAGGTGAAGTTTCCATGCTACAAGGTTGAATTGCTTATACAACATTTTCTCGTCGTGTTAGACACAAATGCCTCGCTCTCTCTTCAGATGATTATCTGCATAGAGTGATACACTTTGACTCAATTGCTGGGAATTGTAGTATACAATTTATCTCTTCAATCTGTCACGTTTATAAACTTTATGATTATTATATCATGTGCTGCTGTTATCAGATGTTGGGTCATCGTCTCTTCCCTAATGTGAAGTACTCCATTTGGGTAGATTCAAAGTCTCAATTCAGGAGGGATCCTCTAGGAGTGTTTGAAGCTCTTCTTTGGCATTCAAATTCTGAATTTGCAATATCACAACATGGAGCTCGTAGTAGTGTCTATGACGAGGCTGGAGCTGTGGTCAGGAAGCATAAAGCCACCCCAGAAGAAGTTGATATGCAGATAAAACGGTACCATCATGATCACTTCCCAGATGACAAGAGATTTAACGGACATAAAGGTATTATTGTCTCTGAATTACTCTTCATAATTAAATATTTTTTATTATAATCTAGAGTCTACTTCGTGACTGGATGCCTTTTTTATTTGGGTTGGGTGATAATATCTCAACTTTGTTATCATAACAACACTTCCTTGTCTGTGGGATATAATTTCTCATCTTTTGGGGAAAGGAAGGAGTAATAATAACATTGGCCACCCTTGGTTTCCTTTCTGATTCTTTTTGCCTCTGATTGTTTTTCTTTCGATTTGCCCAGGGTTTATATCTCTGAGCCTTTTCCCTCCAAATAAGACATAATATGCATTTATCATTCCATATCTCCAAACATAATGTTTGAAAACAGAAAATCGAAAAATGAAATCATTATCAAATGTGGCCTAAAATATTTGAGTTTACGTTGTCTTGTAACGAGACTGTGTGCTGTTCTCGCTGCAGCTCTTGCAGAGGCCTCTGTGATTGTTAGGGAGCACTCGCCAGTGGTGAATTTGTTCATGTGCCTCTGGTTTAATGAGGTGGTGCGCTTTACTTCGCGGGATCAGCTGAGCTTCCCATATGTTCTATGGCGGCTGAAACTTCTGAAGAAAATTCATATGTTCCCCGTTTGCACTCGCAAAGATCTTGTCAATAGTATGGGCCACATTCGCAAGGCTAAGCCTCTGAATGTAAGCCGATTATCTTGAGCTACTTTGAAGCCTGGAAACTTTGCCTGTAATTCCGATTCATTCTTTAATTTATTTAGTGATCTTCTGCTCTGTATAAATCATTCTTGGTTACATGGCTCTTATAATGACAGGTTTCTTCTTTCTTCTTACAAGGTTAATTCTTAAGAGATGATGGTTTATGGCTGAATGTAGGTTTTTGGCCACAACCAATATATTATTGAACAATCCAATTGATTTTTTTTCTTTGGCACCGAGTATTTGGGCATTTCGACTACTCTCACAGGACAGATTGGGGGACCCTACAAGATTTGACTATCGAAGGAACATTAGGATTTCTAAAAGGTAGGTAGTTCCAAAGTCCTCGAGTTCCTACATCATTTTTTGTCATTAGGCCAACTTAGGGTGGTTGAAGAATCGAATTCGTTTTCATCGCATGATCAAAACCAATTAAAATGACTACCAAAATGGATCTATCCAACCAATTAAAGAATAATGGTTTAGAAATACTAGGAGTTTATTGTCTAAATTTGGGTGTGGAAGGGCAATAAGCAAAAACTTCTTTTTTGGTGATGATAAATGCGAGAGCAAATGAATTATCAAACAAGCCTAGTAATTATAAGCGAATTTTTTTTACATTAAGCATAGGCATAAGATAATGCATTTCTTTTTGTTGGTTTACAAAGAGAAAATTTGATTTACTTGGCCCTGCACAAACGAACTCAAATTTTGCAAGATGGATTAATATCAAAATACTTTAAATATACTCGTGAAACTTTCCTATAGCATGAAAATATATTAGTAACTTCAAGTTTAGACTAACAGTATAAATATCTTAAAATTAAAAAAACTTGGTAGAAATTTTTTTTTTTAAAATTAGGTTGCAAAAAAAAAAAAAAAAGAACTAGGTTGCAAAAATATTTTATTTATTTGTTTAATTGAGGTCGATTTTTTAGTTCATTTTGATATCTTTTAATTAATTTATTGTATTGAACCAAAAAATAAGAAGAAAAAGAAACGTGTAGGTGTAGGCTTGAGCTATTATTTGGGCCGACGCATTTCGGGAAATTCGTGTGCTTGCCATCGCCAAGTACGGTGCGGTGCGTATCATCATCATCATCATCGGCTTCCACTCTTCTTCTCTCTCTCCTTCATTCTCCATTCTCTGTGAATTCCATATCGTAATTGGTTCGGATCAGGAGCTGCGAGTTCGGAAATGGCGAAATCTAGTGCGGATGACGGCGAACTGAGGCGAGCTTGCGAGGCTGCCATCGAAGGCACCAAGCAGAGGGTCGTGATGTCGATCCGTGTGGCAAAGAGCCGAGGGATCTGGGGCAAATCTGGCATGTTAGGACGTCAACAAATGGCAAAACCTAGGGTTCTTGCTCTTTCCAGTACGTCTGCAATGTTTATTCCCTTTTCATCTAACAGAAATTTAATTGCGTCTTTTAACTCGTTATAATCTCGCTGGTCTCGAATCAGTCTTCGAATTCTAACCGAGTCTACGGAGATTCTACTTTTTCTGCCGATATCTAGCTCTTTAATGTGACTACCTACTGTAGCTTCTGGTTTGTCCAAATTCGGAACCAACTTTGTTTATATGTTAAGGTGCATTCGCACACAGTACGAGCTCTCTGGAATTTCTGCTACTAGTTACTGTAGCTTCTTACTGCTATGGAGTACCTCTCTCCCTCTTTTTATCGTATTTGCCGGATTGAATGCGACTTTTCTTTAGGAGTGGTGAAGTTGCGTAAAATTTTAGGCACAGCAGCGAAATCGTTAATGCAATTGATTCTCAGACAAATCATTACGATGGGCCGTTGATGGAAATGGTAAATAATACTTAAAAGGTCCTACTGGAGATGACTAACTTTTTGCCACGGAACGAGAAAAAACTAGGTGTTTGCTGGGCTGAGGTAATTGTAGGAATGCACTCTATACATATGGGTGGGCTTCCACTTTTAACATCAATATTTGAAAGTTGCAACCGTCCTTTATTGCATGCTACATGGATTTAGGTTACTGGAGTGAACATCCTGTTAATGATTAGCTCTATATGAAATTTGAATCCTAGAATCGCGACATTGTAGAGCTATTTAAGTATTTAGTTCAGTACTAGTCAAGGGAAGATACCTTACTCTTACTTGAATAGGATCTAATCTATTGGTTATACGTTGGTGTCCTTGAGTTCTCGGTACGAGTCGAGGGAGCTTCTTCATATTTGTCTTGGAAATCTAGGTCTTTTGCAGTGCAGTTCTAACTCTGACATATCTCTTGCTGCTCCTTGAATTCTGTTGTATTTAGAAGAAGAAGAATTGATATCTTCAAGTTATTACATCCATTGACTGCTGTAACGTCATCACCACAAAATTATATTAGAACCACCGGCAAGATTGTAGATTGTGTCATCTTGGAAGCATCAAAGATTCTCATTTTATTTTATCTGTGGTTTTGTGCAGCAAAAGCAAAAGGTCCGCGAACCAAAGCTTTTTTACGTGTCTTAAAATATTCCACAGGTGGTGTTCTAGAGGTAATTTTAGAAATTTAATTATTTTTTTCAAACTTATGAAATTTTTAGATTTGTAATCTTCTTAAAATAAAATTTAGCCATGATCTTTCCTGTTGAGTATTCCTTGCACGATTTTTTGGTTGTTTCTCTCTCTTCATTTAGTTTGATTTTAAGCATCTGTTTGATGGCCAAAATTAGTCTTTCGCTTCCCCTATTGATAATCAATTTCACATGCAGCCTGCAAAGTTATACAAACTAAAGCATCTTTCAAAGGTGGAGGTTGTAACAAATGATCCCAGTGGATGCACATTTACACTGGTAATACTCCATTTCAAAATATTTCTTATGCAAAAAATGCTCCTTCCCATGTTATTAATTTTTTTTATAACAAGTTGGTTTTTTTGGTCTGTTTTCTGGACCTGGCACAATGATCTGGTCTCTAATAAATGTATATTGGATGCTATAATTTCTGCTTAATTTTTGCTCATTCTTCTCTGCCAAACTGAGTATTTGCAGGGATTTGATAACCTAAGAAGTCAAAGTGTTGCCCCACCCCAGTGGACCATGCGTAATATTGATGACCGGTAAGAATTAAGATCGTGGAGGAGTCAATTATTAATGTTTTTTTTTGTTATTTTTGTTTTTAGCTCATTGCACGTTGTAGTTTAAACAAGTGAGTGCACATGCAGATGATATTTCACATGCTGCAGATTTTCATGTATCAGAAGTTCTATTCATGTATATATATGTATGTATGTATGTATAAATCAATTACTTAAGTTGAATTATTTTGATGATGTATTTTTTTGCATCCAGGAACCGGCTTCTGCTTTGCATCTTGAACATATGCAAAGATGTATTAGAACGACTCCCAAAAGTTGTTGGTATAGATGTCGTGGAGATGGCTCTTTGGGCAAAGGTGCATGTTGTTTTCCTTCTTTTGCTTTTATATATTTTTTGATAAGAAAGATACGGAGGCAGACAAACCAGGGATCGGGGTAGAGAGAACCCCGTCCAAGAGAAAACTACACGACCATCAAAGTCTTCCAATCATTAATAATCATAAGGCGGCTGGAATTACAAAATAATTCCTTCTTTTATATTGAAACTTAACTTTAGGGTTGCAGCGTGCATTTGTTTTTATTGTTTACAATTTGATTGGTTATGCCCTTCCATTCATGTAGAGGGATATAGATTACTATTGCTTTTATTAGATTTTTATGTTTTTTTTTTTTTTTTTTGCACAAGTGATACTTTGGGTTCTTGGAGATGTGTGCTTCTAGTTCATTGCTGACAAAAATGCATGATTATGGTTGAGGAAAACATGCCTCCCCTGTCCCCATATAATCTCTTGATAATTTCAGCCTTTATTATCCTTTTTAGGAACATTTAACTGTTTTTTTTTTATTCTTTAGAGGTAAGAGTTATTTAATACACTTGACAATGTTTTTTTGTTCTTTTTTTTTTTTGAGCAACACGTATTTTTCGTTATGCAAATTCAATCAAGTAATTGGTTCCAACTACGTGTGCCATTCAGTTTTTTCTGCTGATGCTCGTATAGAAATTAATGTAGGAAAATACGCCTGCAGTTCCTACACAGAGGAGCCTGCAAGATGGTCCTGCTATGGCTTCAGTGACAGTAAGCGACCTAAAAGTTACAGTAGAGAAGGAACTTGTTTCTCAAGCTGAGGAAGAGGACATGGAGGCACTTTTGGGCACGTGAGTTTGACTTCCCATATTTTTCATGTGAATTGGAGTGAGATTATATGCACAATGTTATATATGATGGGCCTGATAGTGTAGAATACTGCTGCAATATTGATTCTTGTGTGCTGCTGCTTGATTGATGATAACGATGATTTTCACGTTGTTTGTGATTATTTATATGCAGTTATGTGATGGGCATTGGTGAAGCTGAGGCCTTTTCTGAAAGGTTGAAGCGAGAGCTACTTGCTTTGGAGGCAGCAAATGTTCATGCTATTTTGGAAAGCGAGCCTTTGATCGATGAAGTGATCTGTTCTTTCTTTTTTTGCTATTCCATTTTTCATTTGCGATTTGCCCCACATATTTTCAACAATTTTTACTTTATTGAAGAAAATATTTCAGGCTTCTTATCTGCTTGGTTATGATTTCCTAAAACCAAAAGCCTTACATTTATGCATCTTATGGTAACAAGTATCTCCACTGTTAATCTCAACGGCATCTCAAATGCTAAATTTTGATCCTTTACTATTACTACTGCTACTAGTATAGCAGTTTTACTGTGATCATCTTTTACATATAGCTTGGACTATGGTCCTTACCAATATTGTTAACCCAACTTGAGTCGTTATGAAGTTTCTAATCCCTGGAATCAGTGTTTTATATTAATTTTGGCTGCTTGTTCTTTTAGGTGCTACAAGGGCTTGAGGCAGCAACAAATTGTGTTGATGACATGGATGAATGGTTGGGAATCTTCAACGTAAAACTTAGGCACATGAGGGAGGACATTGAATCGGTAAAACAGAACATACTTTTATTTGTAGTTTTCTTTTGAAAATTCCTCCTTACCTACAAATTATTTTTGCCCAGATGTGAATGCATGATATATGGATATATGGGCTTTTGGTTTTGTTTATCTTTTCCCTATTATAATATTACAAACATTGTACACCCAAGAACATTAGTACAACCTTGCTTGCATCATATGCATCCTTTTGCCTTTTCCGAGAGTGTCCATTTACATGCTTGCTACAATGTTTTGGCTTTTTCATTTTTGCTTTGTATCTTTGTCTTCGTTTGGTTTGTGTGATAATTAGTCAATCCCTTCTTTCAATATTTTTCTTTTTTCACTCCTCTTTTACTATGAAAAATTTAGAAATGGCTTAAAAAATTACATGATTTAAAAATTTTAGTTTTTAAGGGACTAACTTCAAAAACTGAAATGGCTTCAAACCAGAGAATATTTGAAGGGACTAAACCACTAGTCTTTGGGAACTCATTCGTTTCCACACATCCTTGTGGTCAGCCTTTCTAAAGAGTTTTATAATAATAATAATAATTATTATTATTATTATTTTGAAATTTTTTGCCAACTGGGATGATTTCTAATTCCCATCCTTTTGTATGGGGCCCTTTGATCAATAAAATTTCTGTTTCTTATAAAAAAAGAACTACATGATTTAAGAATTGTAATTTTTTGGGAACAAAGAAAATTTTAAATGAGTGATTAAAATTTTTTGTTTAGATGTTGTTTAGAATTGAAAAGAGAATGATGAGGAATTTACTAATATAGTCATTTTTTTCTTTATTGTAACTTGTGAGTTGGAAGTTCAACTCTGATGAGATTAGAATCTTAAATTTGTAATTCAATTTGAAATCTTTCCTAACCTGTCCGTTTTAGTCCAGATTTTTTGGAAAAGTGAAAATAGGAGTGAAAATCACATCTGATTTCAATTTTTTTTATTTAATTTTAAATAATAACAAACTAAATAATTTATTAGAATTTTTTTCTGATTTAAAATCTTCTAAAATTCTATGGAAACTAAAAGTCCATTAGGTATTCTTATGATGGTGACCTTATTATGTTGATAGCCAACTTTGTTGCTTCTAAATCTAATTTATATATCTTTCCTATGGGTTAATGAAAGAATATAACAATATGCTGATCAGATAAATCCATTACTTTGTTAATTCCTGACATAAGTGAGATTTGTACACTTCTTACCTTAAACTCATCTGTTTTGTTGAGCAGATAGAAACCCGAAATAACAAGTTGGAGATGCAATCCGTGAATAATAAAGCACTCATAGAGGAGCTGGATAAACTCCTTGAACGATTACGAGTCCCTTCTGAGGTTTTATATTTATCAGATTTTATAGAAAATGACGGGTTTAACTTGTGTAATTTTCCTTGAGCTCTCTAATGATGTTTTGTTGGTTGTAGTATGCAGCATGTTTGACTGGGGGTTCATTTGACGAGGCACGCATTATTCAAAATGTAGAAGCGTGTGAGTGGTTAACTGGTGCTTTGCGTGGCCTTGAAGGACCCAATATCGATCCTATATATGCAAACATGCGATCTGTATGTAGCACACTTTCCTCTCATTATTTCAATTTTCTTGTGATGGTATATGTTCCTCGTAAATCATAATTATGTACGTTTAGGGACGTAATTTGGTAACAACTGATGTTTAGTCAATTTGATGGTGAGCAACCTATTTATTATATCTACACTCTACCGTAGTTTAGCTGTTTCAGTTGCTGAATTATATCTGTTATAGTTGCTTTATTATATCTACGCTCTACCATAGTTTAGCTGTTTCAGTTGCTGAATTATCTCTGTTCTAGTTGCTGCATACAGGACCATCGTTCTCTGTATAATACTTTGAGCAGTAGAGTTGTGTTTAGTAGATGTTTGCAAATAATTCAGAATTAAGATACAATCACGTGGTGTAATAAATGCTAGCTCTTTAGGGCATCGGTTAGTGGCATAAAGAACTTTCTCAAGTGTAGTAGCTGCACTCTTCCAGGTAAGAGAGAAGCGTGCTGAGCTTGAGAAGCTAAAATGTACCTTTGTTAGAAGAGCTTCTGAGTTCCTAAGAAACTACTTTGCTAGTCTGGTGGATTTTATGATAAGTGACAAGAGTTACTTTTCTCAGGTATTTATGCAATTTATATGTTTTCTTACCTGGTTATCATGAATTTTAAGGTTGGAAGTGAAAATTACTGCATTTTTTTTAATAGAGAGGACAGCTGAAGAGGCCCGATCATGCTGACTTGCGGTACAAATGTAGGACCTACGCTCGTCTTTTGCAACATTTAAAGGTCAAATTACAAAAAGGACTTGCTATATCATTGCTTCTATTTCTTCCTTCTGTGCTAATTTTTTCCCTTTATTACTTGTAGAGTCTTGATAAGAATTGCTTGGGTCCGTTGAGAAAAGCCTATTGCAGCTCCCTTAACTTGCTTCTTCGCAGGGAGGTGAGTGAAAATATCTTACTACCCAGACTTTAACCATTGCTTAGGGAGTTTTTATGGTTGAATATTTTTTCAATTTTTTATTTCCTTTTGGACAACATTTCAAATAAAATTTATGTTGATACTATTTCACTCATATGACTAGTCGAATCCATGTGATTGTGAGCCTGGTTGGGTCAAGGTGTAGACAAAAGAGGCTAGTGCTGAATTTCCTATTTCTTAGATGGCTCCATTTTTATATAGTTATCTAATTAAAATCACAATCTCTCATTAATCTTTAAAACTTAGTAGTTGTTAGTTCATTATTTTAAGGCCATGCAGTTATAACTTTAATATTAAAAGATCCAGTTTTAAAATTTGGCTTCAAGCCTCAAACTTCCTTGTGTTGACCCTTATCTGAGTAAGCGTCCGCAATTATATTAAATATGCACCTGCTTTTGAAGATGCGCTTATGTTTCTGTTTGAAAGAACCTTTTCTTATCCTCTTGATTGTTAGTTTAATTTCTTTAACCTTTTTGTACTCTTCTCTTTTGAATTGAGAAGTGTAACATAGTTGGGCCTGCCCTCTTTGTATCAGGTTAGTCATGAAGTCACTTAGCTATAGTTGACAGATAACTCCACCTTTGGCCAAGCAGTGGAGCCAGCTAAATGTGGCTAAATGAAAACAATACTTAGATCAATGAATACTATATGACTTTTTTTTTTGTATAGGATTTGAATTTTGAACCCCCAAAAAGAAAAAAATTGGAAAAGCAATTGCTATATGATACTATATTTTAATTTTTAACATCTTAAAGGGAAGTTGGTATTAATTAATGCTTTTTACCTTTTTATTCAGCTCCCTATTTTCTCAAGAATAGATTAAATGGTGCTTATCCACCTGTCTGTCAATTTGCTGTGTTATGTGTTTACTGGTGAAGGTTTGGCCTTTTTTCCTTTTTTCTTTTAATAAATTTTTTTATTCATCTTTAGGCTCGTGAATTTGCTAATGAGCTTCGTGCTAGCACCAAAGCTTCAAGAAATCCAACTGTCTGGCTTGAAGCTTCCTCTGGGTCTGGTCAGAATGTAAATGCAGCCGACACCTCTACTGTCTCGGAGGCTTATGGGAAGATGTTAACTATTTTTATCCCTCTTCTTGTAGACGAGGTTAAAGTTCTGGTTCTACTTGTACTTGATCGTATAATAATTTGTTCTGTAAATGATTTTCCTTTTCATGACAACAAATGCAGAGTTCATTTTTTGCTCACTTCATGTGCTTTGAAGTTCCTACACTTGTGCCACCTGGTGGTGTTAATGGTGGTAAAGCAGGATATGATGATGACGATGATGATTTGGGAATTATGGATATTGATGAGAACGACAGCAAATCTGGTACTCCTACTGGCAGTTATCTTTATTGTTCCTCATTTGTTATCATAAATTTATAAATACGTCGTATTAGTTTTGACATGCAACATTGGTTGCTGTAGGGAAAAATTCTGTGGAGCTTGCAGCATTAAACGAATCACTTCAAGACTTGCTTGATGGAATTCAGGTGATATATCCACTTTGGTTCTACACATCTTTCTGTACTGTTTTCAACTTATTTTCTTTTAGTTACCGACTATAAATTCAAAAAGGGATGAAACCAACAAATTTTTGGATACATTCTTTTGTGTGTGTATGTTTCCCATTTTGTTAACAGATGTGGGAGAGCCCTTCTGGAAAAGCCTTTCTGTAGATCCATTTCTTTGTATAAACAATGAGAGTTCATGAAGCTGGCTACTTGATGTAGTTACACAATCACCTTTGTTATATCTTGTATATTTTTGGTGTTACCAGAGTCGTTTTTACATGTTGATTTCTTGTTAAGCATTGAGGTATAAACCTTGTTAAACACAACCGCAGTTAGAAAGCAATAGTAATTGGGAAGATTTAATATGTTGAAAGGCTAAACATGCTTGTTCTTTTGGGACATGCATATCATTTAGAGTCAACTCAAAAGTGTGTGATGGAAATGTAGATGGTTTTGCCAACTGAAACTACAGAATGTGACTAAAATTAATTATAGAATAAATATCAAGATATGGGCTTTTATTAATGTTAAGCCAATTTGTTTGAAATGTGAATCAGGAGGATTTTTATGCTGTTGTGGACTGGGCATACAAGATTGATCCATTGCGCTGCATATCAATGCATGGTATCACAGAGCGTTATCTTTCAGGACAGAAAGCTGATGCCGCCGGCTTTGTCCGTCTTTTACTTGGTGACTTGGAGTCGAGAATTTCCATGCAGTTTAACCGCGTAAGTTTGGCAATACGCTAAGATTGTAAATATGTGTGCACACATGTAGCTTGAAGCTAATGGTAGGCAGTATTTCTTTCTGGGGTTTATGCCACAGCCAACCTTATTAAAATGTGCAAATATTTCACAGTTTGTTGATGAAGCTTGTCACCAGATAGAAAGGAATGAGAGAAATGTTAGGCAGATGGGGGTACTATCTTATATTCCAAGGTAAATTTATCAATTTTTTCAATTTGCTTCAAGTCAAGGCTGTATAGATAAAGATCTTACTGTGTCAACAAGATTTAACAATCCATGTTCAATACTTTTATTTCTGTATTCTGTTACATGAACTTATACAACACACCTCTTGGGAATAGTTTATGCCAAATGCAAAGGAGGTTTATGTTGCACTGCTATTAAGTTTTAGACTTGGTTGAGAGCATATGTTTTACTTATTGCCTTTGCATAGGTTTGCAACTCTTGCTACTCGAATGGAGCAGTACATCCAGGGACAATCTAGGGATTTAGTTGATCAAGCATATACAAAATTTGTGAGTTTCCTAGAACTCATTTATGATTGTTATTGTGATGTGATTGGCAATAATCTGGAAATTTATTACTTTCTATGTCTCTATACATTGTTTTGATAGGTCAGTATCATGTTTGTGACTTTAGAGAAAATTGCACAAACAGATCCAAAATATTCCGAGATTTTTCTTTTAGAAAATTATGCAGCTTTCCAGAATAGGTACGTATTACAAAGTCAGAACTTTTATTGGAACATATATATATACCAATCTCAATATATCACGTGCAGTCTCTATGATCTAGCCAACGTTGTGCCCACCCTAGCAAAGTTCTATCACCAGGCAAGTGAAGCTTATGAGCAGGCTTGCACACGACATATAAGTATGATTATATACTATGTAAGTCATTCTCCCCAACTCCCCCCTCTCTTTTTTAATTATTATTATTTATTTATTTAACTGCTTTCAATTTTTTTTTCTTGTTCAGCAATTTGAACGGTTATTCCAATTTGCTCGAAGAATAGAAGACTTGCTTTACACTATCCCACCAGAAGAGGTTTGTATGTTACTAATATATTTTGCTGTATTAGAATCAATGTCTATTATTATTTTTTCAAATTTAAGAAAGCACTTTAACTTCCAGGTATGCGTCATTGTAATCCACCACTAAGGTGTCTTTATAATTGTTGTTGGCCCATGGATGATATATGTGAAATCTGTATTATTATATTTCTTTTTTTGTGTGAATTTTAGGTTCCCTTCCAGCTTGGATTGTCCAAAATGGATCTTCGGAAAATGTTAAAATCGAGTTTGTCTGGAGTAAGCTGCAATTCTTCAGAATAATACATTTATATATTTCTATCATAAACCGCACTGATCTAAATGTCAGTTGGGAATCTGTTCTTGACACAGGTTGACAAATCGATTACTGCAATGTATAAGAAGTTGCAGAAGAACCTCACCTCAGAGGAACTACTTCCTTCTTTATGGGACAAGTGCAAGGTACATGAAATCTTCTCTCTTATGCAACACTATGATGATTATCACAATTAGATAATCCTTCTGACGAGCTTATGCTTTCAATTAGAGACGTGATCTAAAACGCATTGGGTATTGAAGTTTAAGCAAAATCTGATGAACTTATCTTGATTTGATTGCAGAAGGAATTTCTGGACAAGTACGATAGTTTTGCCCAACTTGTTGCTAAAATTTACCCTCAGGAGACGTTTTTTTCAGTAGTGGAAATGAGAGATCTTCTAGCTTCCATGTAATTAAAATGAAACACGATGGGATCCTGTCGTGTACATCTTTTTGGCTTTCATTTTTTCGATATAAATTTTAAGAGGTCAGTCATTCTTTGTTCCATTCAATAATTTCATTCAACGACTCCAGAGATAATTTGTGTAGAAAGTCATTCTCTGATACGAATTAGGCATGTATTTATTGTATAAGAGCTCTCGGGTCGCTGCTGTGGCCTCTCCTGTTGTGTTGACTACCAAGCCTACTGAGTTAATTTACATTCAAGATTTGTATGTGAGAAAGTTGGAAAAGTTTAGTTTCTTAGCGGAGGGCCTTATTTTTCTCAAATTCGTAAAATGCTACACAGCTTTTGTGATTCTATAATCATTATTTATTTAGAATATGAACAAGAGAACTGTTAATCAATGAAGCAGAAACAGAAACATTAATATTGAAAGGGTCAAAATCTGCTCTCTTCTTCAGTCGCATTAAATCGACATTTGAGGCCAAAGTAATTTCTCCCAGTCACATTTTTCGGTGGATGAAGCTCGAGGAAAACATAATTCCTGGGATCGCAATCCAATAAGCTCGTCAGATAATTCCACTTCCATTTTGAGTAGTCAAAGGTGATATTTCTGGGTGTGCACTATCTTCAACACAATAATATTCAATGAAATATTCTTGGGGATTCAAAATATTTGAAAAATATTCCACGAGTGGAAAGTACATCAAATTCTTACGTATACTCTGACAAGGTACATTTGAATATGAAATTTCAATTGGTTAACCTAGATTTTCTTTGACATTAATGTTTTGTATGAATTTGGTATGTATACAAGTTTTAATTGAAACTTGGCTAGAGGTTTTAGGGTTTGGAAGTAGCTAGGTTTAATGCATCAAGAAAAAGGAAGCAACAGAAAAACATTCTACGGAGGCGGCGCAATGCATCAAGAAACTTGGCTGCCAATTTACAAGTACCAGTACGGCTCAAAAGTGCTTGAGAAATAATCACAGAACCAATCTCAGTTTCAATTAAACTTGAGTCTGTATCCTCATCATCGCCGCACTTGTGCTTGTGCACATGCCACTGCCATATATTAAAATGAGAAATACTTGAAAGAAAAGAAAAAAAAAACACATCAGAAGATCTGCACAAGAAAATCAGAAATCGAAATCATCCTGGACAGATAATCGTGATGATGATTATCAAGCAAAATAATGGAAAACTATCTTCAAAACCTCAATAAAACCTCTAACAATGGCCAGAGCCGCCGAAAAGGAAGAAGAAAAAGAGTAATTCATAATGTAAAAGAAAGAAGAAAATGAAAAGGAGGTTGAAATTCTCTCAGACAAATGCCTCGTTTTGTCGTCAGGGGTAAATGGATTAGAGATCGGACTCGTCATCAATTTTTCATCATCACAGAGAAAAACCTCCACATTGCTAACTAAATATAAACAAAATACAATCGATCGAGAAAAACCCCAAGGCATTCGCATGCAGAAATTCAAAGACAGAACCGCGCGGCGAAGCCAAAGCTGAAGAAAACGGAGCAGATCACTTCCTGGTTACGGTGGAACATCTTACTACTTATGGGGAGACTGAAGCTAGGGCTTACCGATCCGGTCCATGCCCTCTTACTATGAAAGACGAAATTGCCCATCTCAGTGGGTAAACCTCGGCCCATTGGAGTCCAATGGGCCCAGTTGTACGCAGAAAAGCTCAATACGAAATTTCAAACAATTGTGGATTTGGCAATTCAAATAGAAGATTTTGAGAGAATGTTTAAAATTATATAAACTTATATGCATAGCAAGTAATATATTTTGTAAGATATTAGTTGAAAATGGTAGATTTTGAGAAAACATCTTGAAATAAAAAAGTTCTTTTTGTTAGAACTTTGATAAAAAATTGAAAACGTTGAGCTTTACCATAAACTAATTAGCATTAGGTTTTGTTTTGAAAAATGCACTTCCGTCAAAATGTAACATAAACGTATCAAATAAAATTCTAAACGTCCAATTTCTGTAATTTAACCTTTAATATTTATAGGCAAAGACTGCAATTAATTATTATGAAGGAATCATCGGCCTCCAAATTAACCATTAGCATTTGAACGATGTGGTTCTTCGTCTTGGAGTGTCAAGATTTCTAAGGTTTGGGCAAATCTTCGACAAGGAAACAAAACAAAAGAATTGGTGAGGTTTGATTTCTCTCAGACAAATGCCTCGTTTTGTCGTCAGAGGTGAATGGATTAGAGATCGGACTCGTCATCGATTTGAATCATCACCGAGAAAAAAACCTCTAAATAAATGAAAACCTTGAATAAAAATTTGTTTTTCAGAAGAAAACTATCCAATCAAATTTGTCTTTTTCATCTGAAACAAAAGATTGAATCCGAATTCTACACAAAACGGTTCCTTGAACTAAACGAGAGCTTCGGTCGCAAAAGAAGAAATTCGAACTAAACAGAAAGTGCGGCGGAGAAGGAATAAGATAAATAATCATTCATTACAGAAAAGGGAAAAAAAGAAAATAAAAGGAGGTTGAATTTCTCTCAGACAAATGCCTCGTTTTGTCGTCACGGGTGAATGGATTAGAGATCGGACTCGTCATCGATATCCATCATCACGGAGAAAAAAAAACCTCCACACCGAAGAAAAATTTAAAAAAAAAAATTCGTTGATGAGGAAAACCATATCAGATCCAATTAGCCTTTCGTAACTAAACAGAAGATTGAATAAAAAATCTAAACAAAACTCTTACTTATCCAACGGGAGAAATCAGACTGCGGAAATTGGAAGAAATTTTGAGCGGCGGAGACGAGAGTGAACGATTGACGAACACTGCACTACTTATAGAAGAGAGACGCCACGCGGCTAGGGCTTGGCTTAGGGTTACCGTCCCGCCTCCAATTTTTGAAGACGAAACTACCCTTGCTGAGTTGGCTTCCTTAATCCAAACTTTTGTCAAATATGGCTATGCCCACTAAATCTGACATATTTAGATTTTTGGTTTAACATTCTTTTGTTCATTTCAGTCTTTGAAAACTTTGTTTTTGGCTGCGTGATTTATAAAATTAATCATTTTAGTTTCTCCATTTATTTTAAAGTCATTTTTACTAAAATGTAGTATGGTATTTCTCTCCGTTATAAAAGGGTATTATAATATTTTTATTGGATATAAAATTGTAGGAGGCTCCATGGAAAGCTACTGCACGACCTTTGGTGCGACAATCTCAGTCGCAGGATCGGCCCCGTCTAAGGAGGGAAGTTTTCCATTGCAACGCCAATTAAGGTGAAGGTTGTGCCTATCATGACGATTCCAATGACTTGAATTTAAAGTATGTGAAACTGAGAGGGACCAAAATAGTTGATTAAAACGGATATTTTAAAAATACAACTAATCAGAAACCTAGGTTTTAATAGATTTTACTCATTTTAACCCTCTTTTCTTTTTAAATGCTCTTCTAGATTTTTGACACTAAATGTTTTGAGATTTGATTCATTTACCATAAACAAAACATTTAAGAGTTTTTTTATCATTTAAATGACTCCCGTCCCATTCTTCATACACTATTTTTTTTTTCTTCATATATTCGTAATTAACTGCGTACATCAAATTATTGCAGATATAAGCATGTAGAAAAGTTCTCATTTAAGCTTCTTTTCTAGCTTCAAATCTTACAAATTTATCCTTTTAACTGCCTATTGAATTTCAGCTTTTACTTAATTTCTCTAATTAGTAAATTTGGCTGGTTTCAAGAGTAGTGTGGTCGATTTTTTTTTTTATTTTATTTTCCTTCTTCACTCCTAATACAAGTTGGTATGCTCAAATTTGGTAGGGGGACCTTAATAAAATGTAGCCCTAGACCTCTCGTTGAACTGGTTGGATCTAGAGAGGAAATGAAGTTTTCATGAATTAGGGAAAAAGAATTTTGATCTGGTGTCGTCCGTATTAAATTGGCTGAGATGCTCTGTAAACTGGGGTGCCTCAAACATTGCCAAATAAGTGTTCGACAAAATGCCGAACAGAAGGATGGTACCTGGACATCTCTACTTCTATGGGATTGTGGATGATAGGGAGTGACAATGAGCAAGGATTATGGAATTGTACCTCCGGAGGAGCATTCTATTGGTATTATTGATCTCTTTGGAAGCTCTCAGGATACTGCTTTTTGTTTGGGAGACCCTGCAAAAACTTTCAATGACTGAATCAAGATGTGCAGCTTGGCAATCCTGGCTTTCCAGTACCGCCTTCTGGCCTAAACCTTTGCAATAAGAAGACGATAAGAGATACCCTACTAACTAACAGATCAATGTATAAAAGAGGAATTTATATAACTTGAGAGAAGTCAAGAAGATTAGCTCAAATAGAACTGGCTCCCTTGAACTTGTGACCAGGAAGTCAAAGGAAAGGTGCTTACTTTACCACAGTGAAAGGCTAGCACAATTACTTATGAGCTTATTAGCACATCTAAGGGTTATAAGGAACCTTAGGATAGATGGAGCTTATCGTAATCCCATCAAAATGGTATCCAAGACTGAAGGCCGAGAGGTTATAAGATAATAATAGGTTCCATCATTTCAACAATGGCATCTGTTCTTGTGGGTTTTCTGGTGACAAACAAATTGCATTAATGATTTGAGAAATGGACAAACTGAGGTGGCTTCTACCTTCAATATACTCTGGTCTGCAGTTTTCATTTCATATGCTGCAAAATCCAGCCAGGTCTAGTTCAAGGCATTCAGGTATGAATTCAAATATATAACGAGAAAAAGAAATTGACTGCTTACCAATGAATAGGACCAATTCTTTATTCTTTAAAGTAAAAGAAATATTGACATTAAAAAACTAAACGAAACTTCAAATAAATAAACTGAATAACTAAATATATCACTGTCTGCTAACGAAATATGATATGACAAGCAAAAGTTTAGTAAATTGGATATCGATTGGTGGGGTACAACAATATGGAGCTCATTGAACAAATTGTGATAAATGTTCGAGAACTACTTGAAACAAAATAAATTGTGATTAGGAGTTAATATACCCTAAAAGTAGAATGTACAGAATGTTACAAGCACTAGTACTTTTCTGCTACAGGTCTGGAAGGAAAAAGCCTCAAAAGAAAAGTCATTAAGGACCAGAGGCATACCACCCCTAGGACTTGAAAGGTTACCATCATAGCAAAAAGAGCTCCACTTTTTTCCAACAATTCTGGGGTGGTGGGAAGCCCTCTCATTTGGAATATCAACCTCTCCATAAAATGGGCAGCTTTTGTCAACTGGTAAAGTCTATAAACCTGCACGTTGGTTCAATTGGTAAAAGATCATGTTTAGTCCTTGAGAGGAATGAGGAATGAGTTGTAGAGAAGTGGAATACCTCAAAAATAATTGGAACAAGTGGCCAAGAAGATGAGCCTCGCCTATCAAGATGTGTTTCAAATGCTAACTGGACGATACAGCCAACCAGAAATGGAACCACTGCCACAAGTGCGGGCAGGCCAATCATCGGCCAAGTTACATACATGGCAAATAAAGGAGCTATAACCTTGAAGCCAGAAATGAAGAAAGCTGTTGTCAAGTAGCCTCTAAGGCCTGTAATGAGGCTCCACCTCTTCGAGCTGAATTGCAAGTATGGTCTCTGAACACGATCAGTAACAAGAAGGAACATGGCAACTCCAACATAAAATAGGACTTCAAAAACCAGTGAAGTCACAACTTCTGTTTGAATAATACAAACGTATTGCGTTAGTAGTTTAGAGAACAATGTAAAACCAAGCTAAATGCATCAAACGGATCTGGAAATACTCAAAATGGCATGAAACAAAATAACAGACATAAGGAAACCCCAGTAATCATAACAGAGGAATTAACTGGGTTCACAATAAATAGTAAATACCTACGAGAATCTCATTCCTGAAGAAATCCTCAATCAGACCGCCAAGGAAAACTTGAGGAACGATCAAAGATGAGATAAACACCGCAGGAGCCAGAACCCAGAGGAAGGAGCCCTTCTCTTCACTAAAAGGAGCTGACATCAATTTACCTTCCTCTACCAACTGGTGAGTAAGACCATGGAATGAGATAGAGCCAGGTTTCCCACGAAACGGCTCCACTCCATTTAATCTACTAACATACAACACATGATTTTCCTTTTCCTCTCCAGATGATTCCAACTTAAGCTTCCCGTTAGAATCGGCAACGCACATGAACGAACCTCTCTTCTTCTTCAGCACGTCCACTGCCAAAGTATTTTAGTTCAAGAAACACAAAATGTCAAGGGAACTGTTAGTGAAATCAGATATCTCGCGCTCAACTTTAACTCTCATCATCAAGGAAAAAAAAATTATCAACTCATCAATGGCGCTGAATTGAAAACCTACATTTTGATGCAAATTCAAGCCGTTGTCCTTGTCTCCTCGGTCCAACCCTGCTTCCCAATTGCTTGAGAAGAAATGAAGAGCAAAGCAATAACGTTACTTCCGAATGACCGAACAACCATTGAATTAACATTCGTTAAGCGCGAAATATCAAGCTTGCACTCACCAATTTACGAAACCGAGCACCGCCATCCTGAAATCCGACCAGTGCCGAGGGAAGCCCATGACAGAACGATTGCGACTGCATGCTTTTAGGGTTTTAGAACAGAGCAACTGGTCTTAAAACCCTAAGCCCGCGAAAATGCCTCAGACATAGGCGAATTCGCAAGGGAGTTTGCAAAGGGAAACGACGAGGGCACACTTGGGAAGTGGCCAGCATTGGTTCCACGCACCAGAAATCGTTCTACATTATGGGCCTGTGGCCCAATAACAGTATATTCGGAGCCTGCTTCAATCCAGTTCCGCTATTAGCCCAATAGGCCCAACGTTCAACAGAAATTTTGATGATTAAAACATACCAGAGTGACCTTTGGAAATTGTCTTAAATATCCTTTTCTCAAAAATTAAAATGTAAAATATTTTAGTTAGTGATGGTTCAATTATATAATTTTAATTGGTTCACTTTATTTTTTTGGGGTGATTTGTTTGATTGTGAAAAAGAATTTTAATCTTATTTAAAAATAAGTGTCTTAAGTATCAATTTTCATCATTTCACGTTAGTTTAACTTAAATTAATTTATATACCACAAAGTTCTCTTTGTAATTCCTTTGCAAAAAAAAAATAATAATGATAATAAATAAATATTTTGTAATAAATGAAATTTAGTTATGCTTACTTCAATTAAAGTAACAATTTAGTATTTAAATTTTATTGTATAATAATTTAGTCTCTTACTTTTTGAGTACAACAAGTGGGATAAAAGATTTGAAATCATGACCTCATGATCAAAGATATAGATCAATTATCGCTAAGCTTATGTTGGCAATTTAGTCTTGTACTTTTCATTAGTAATAATTTAGTCTCTAAATTTTAGTACGTAACAATTTAATCTGTATCATTAAATATTTTTTATTAAAGTCAACATGAATTTAGCTTAATGTTATTTACACCTATCTCCAACTATGAGAATTTCCCTACCCTCTTCATGTATTAAAAAAAATTTATTGAGATTTAATCTTATATACATAGATGATGAATTTATGAATGATTATAAATTACAAAGACCGTGATAAAAATCGACACTTTATTTGTGTGAGATTTCACGGGCAGGAATTAAATTATTTCAAAATTTAAACTATACTGAGCTAAGTTGTTACCAATTTCATATACTAAATCGTAAGGGCAATCCAACGAAAGTAGTGATGTATTATTTATCCAAAAAAAATAAAAATAAATAAAGAATCTGTTTCCGCCACATTTCTATGTTCCCCTGTTTCCAGGGCGTTAACATTCAGACCTCATAGATGCAACGATATAGTCTGTTTGACCTCATCAACCGGAAAAAGCTCGAGTTTTACGGCGATGCTATTACGTTGAGCTTCTTTAACAATGGGGAAGCAACTTCCAGAGTCAGACATTCGAATCTGTTCGGTTGTCTCGTCGGCTCCACCCCTAGCATTTCTAATTTGCTATTAATAAACATACTCTGTTTTTTCGTCCAGCCTTTCTTCGACATATTTAGCATCCTTCCCCCTTTCTTTCCTCTCCACCGTCTACGCATCGTTCCACCTCCAAAGCACCCATTTTAAACTTGGGTCTTTTGGGTGATTAGCCTTCTGGGGTCACCAATTTGTTTCTATATGATATTTTCACTTTTCATGTGGAAATTCATATAATCAATCCACAAAAAAGGAGAGAGGGTCGGGGGAGAGCAGAGAGAAACAGAGAGGCATTATTCAAACAAAAAAAAAGGATGTTTGCAGACGGCAACAGCATTCCTCGGGCCAAATACGGCGGCAACATGACGCATTCCGACCCCAACATCTCGTCGTCGACGATGATCGAGGACGACTTCGCCA